GCTACTAGAAGCGATGCACTTGTTACTAGTAGCTTCTTGTTACTACTCGTAAGGCACCTGTTACTACTAGCGTGGCACTTGTTACTACTAGCTTCTTGTTACTACTAGTAAGGCACCTGCTACTACTAGCGTGGCACTTGTTACTACTAGCTTCTTGTTACTAGAAAGGAGCGCAGTCGGGCGGTCCAGGTGATGTGCTTGGGGTCGATGTCGGACACCGCCGTGGTGTGTTTTCAGTGTGAGGTCGGACATCCCCAGCAGTATACGGTACCCTTTGTTGTACGTCTTCCAGACGCGTCGGAGGTCTTCAGTCCAGCGTTGAGACGGTCCCCGGTCAGACAGACAGAGCTGTTCCAGGAAGTGCCAGTCTGAAAGAATTCTGGAACATAGCAGTTTGTTTGAATTTCTTTAGAGCATATGGGATTGCCATAGGATTGCTTTCGACCACTTCAGGGGAAAGTAGGCTCTCCCACTGCGACCACATCGGCCAGCCCTCCATTTGACTGTGAACAACCCGGCTAACCCGGCTGGAGCCCGTTCCGGGAAAACCCCTTGAGTGGGGATTCGCGAAGAGACCCGATGAGGCCAGGATCCGCGGGCCCCAAAACACCGCCTGCGAACGACTGAGACATGGATGCCATCCACCCATTTGGCTTCCCGGTCGCCCACCGATTTCATAGCCTGAATCCCCAGGTCCACCGGAGCTACTTAAGTAAAGGATTTTGCTCTACACCAGGTCCACCGAACCTTGTTCGGTCTTCTCGGAGTCTCCCAAAACTGAGGCTGCCAACCCTTTCCTGGTGCCAACAGGGCAACCAGCCGTACTGGAGTGCCCTGGCTCTGAGTGGGGGTCCAGGATGCCATGAAGGTTCCGCTGAACGTGTTGCGGCTCCAAAAAAGGTCCATTCGGAACCCCTGCTCCTCATGTTACGGAACCTCTCTCCTCTTTGGTGGGCAGGGCATCGCTATAGGTTGGAGGCCATCCGTCCTCGACCGCTGCAAGGTGCCACTTGTGCGAAGTCGCCTGGCGGCCACTGAGCAGGCGGAAGCGGCATTCGGGGGCATTGGGGTCGATTCATGGTGTTTCTTCCAGGTGGCTTAATGATCCCCCAGGAAAAGGGATGTTGTTTAAAAAAGATTTTGAAAGAAGCCAATTCCAAGCTCTGAAGAAGCACCTCAGATTCGCAGACCTTTCCCAACAGCTTAAGACATTTCGTGGCCAGTCGTGGATGGTTGGGGACATCCGCTTCAACGTCTGGGGTCGCTGGGTTTGCGGTGTGGAGAACGAAGAACCCCAGGCGCGAGGCGTTGAGAGGAAGGAATGATTCTGGGAGGCCCACAGCACTACTTCACCTGAAGCTGCCTGGGTTGGATGAGAGACAAGGCCAATGCAGGTGGGAGAGATATCTTGATCGTCTGCGGATCAGTGGGAGAGAGAGAGAGAGAGATACTGTTTTTGCATCTTTCGTACCCAAGGATTGAACCAATCATTTTTATCGATACGTGCATTGATTTGCGTATAAATATATCATTACATGCACGTGGGTTTATGCTGTTTTCCTGCAGTAGAGTCAGAGCAACAAATGCTGCAAGGCGACCTGAGAATACGAAGACACCCAGTTGAAAATAGTTGAAACAAAGCGTAACGGCGTAACATCGGCAACGAAAACAGACACCAACCAAGCAGCTTCCTCGACCCGCGGCCCGCAGAGACCGCCATCATTTCGCGATGTGTTCTTTTGACATCTGACTATAGGGTACTTCTTTTTACTGGACAAGGATGGCTTCTTCCCTCGCAGTGAGGCCCAAAGGGTTCGGAAAAGCAAAACAAAAACAACAGCTGCTGGAATGTGTCCAGGTTGGTGGCCGAGAGTGAAGGAAGGCACCGCACCGTATCAGCTCGCACCCGTTCTTTTCGCGCGCGCTCGGTGTTTTTGGATGGTCGTCCATCAATTTCACGACCCCCTGAAGGCGCTGTTGACCTCCCAAAAGTCGATGTTTTGTTCCTGTTTCCACTTGGCAGACTAGGGCTGCATGTCCGTCCTTTCACGGAGCAGTCCGTGGTTTCGGGTCAGAACCAGGTAGGTCCCGTGCCGGCCCGTGCCCCCCCCCGGCACTCCGCCAGAAACAGAAGTCGACCAAGTCCCACTCTTCTAATCCAAAAGTCGTGAATATTAATTAAAGTTTAATTTAGTTTTAATTCTAATAGCGAACTTTGTTACTACTAGTAAGGCACCTGTTACTACTAGCGTGGCACTTGTTACTAGTAGCTTCTAATTGTAGTTGGAGTTTGTGCCCACTTTTGTGCTAGTAGTAACAAGTGCCACGCTACTAGGAACAAGTGCCTTACTAGTAGTAACAAGAAGCTATTAGTAACAATAAGCTACTAGTAGCTTCTTGCTCCTAGTACGGCCAGGAGCCTCGTTCGTAGCGTCCTCTTGTTCCTCGTAGGGTCGGCCAGGTGCCCCGTTCGTACTCCACTCCCCAGCGACGCGTCTTCGCACTGCAGGTGTCATGCAGTGGCGTTTTGGGCCGAAATCCCTTTGAACGACTCAGAGACCTTGAGCACAGGACGGCGCACGCAGATCGCACGGCCTGCTCCGCTGGACGGTGGTGGACAGGATGAAGAAAAGCATCTGGAGACCGGAAGAAACAGATAGGAAAAAGCTCTTGAGCTTCATGGGACATGCAGTCCATCATGCATACTTACAGTCCAGAAGTAAAGAATTGCTTAATAAAAAATCCATCATGTGTGTGATTCAACCCTTAAAAACACCGTCCTCCCATGATCCTCCCATCCTCAGGGCCAAAGGAGGCGCCCAACGGCTGGTGCCAAGCCCTGCAACTCCTCGAGGTCGGGGACCGATTTGGAGATAGACACGGTGTCAGGCTGTCAATCCAACTGTTTGGTCAAGAAGTTCCCCTACAAGTCAAGTTGGACCGCATGAAATACTGAAGTTGGTTGTACAGTGTTCTACGAACGAACACGATACGAAACAGGAGGTTCGGGTAGGTTTCGGTGTTGCTATGGCACCAAGCGGGTGACCTGTAGATCCGGGCGTGGCGATGTAAGTCGAGGGCGTGCGTGTAGACAGGAGGGGCGTATGCGATCGAAGCAAGGCCACCGTTTGAGTTCCCTTATTAGGTAAAATTGAACTCCCCATGGTACCAAGAGCTACTCCCAGACTTGCTGGCTGAAGAGTTCTTCCCGAAGCTTTAAAAATATCCCTTGTCTCCTCGCCAGGAACCCATCGAGCTCAAGGCCAACGCCTCCATCTCCGTTCAGCTCACCGTCGATGCTGAGGCCGGTCGCTGACACGTCGCTCCGCCGGTGGTCGGCGAGTCGTGTCGTAGTTGCAAAGCGGGCTGAGTGGGTGTTCGGCTCACCCGAAAGAATGCAAAATTCCGATGTTTGGGAGAAAGCACAGACATGGCCATCGATTGGAATGATCGATCTTTGAGCTAGCTTGCTTTGCTCAGAAGATTGTTGTGCCAAGTCCTGCACAATCGAGAAAACCACCTCCAGGCAACGTGTTTGTCACTGTTTGCTTCCAGAAGTTGCCCCACAAAACATGGGTGTTTTTCATGCCCAGCAAGACATGGGAAGCTGCCAAGAATCGATCAAGCCTTGTTCAAGTCTTTCCACGAAACGCTTGGCAATTCAAACAAAGATAGTTTAAAACTGTTGAGAAACAGCTTCTTGTTACTAGAAGCAAGAATGCTCCTGCTAGCGATGCCAGGAGCCCCGTTCGTAGCGTCCGATCGCTCCGTTCGTAGTAAGGCCAGGAGCCCCGTTCGTAGCTTCTTGTTCCTAAGTGATGCTTTGAGCGTCGGACGATTCTTGGATTCGGAGCTCGCCGTCAGGCCAAGCTTCAAATCACCCGTGAGGGCACGAAGAGGGAGCGCAGTGCGGAAAAGGCGCGCGGTTCACATCGACCGCAGCTCGGCAGCTCTGCAGCTCTCTTTAGATGGGAATGTCACGGAGACCGGCCGACGAAACGAGGACCGACGATCACATCGGATCTGGGATCGCTCGCGAAGCGAAAGGCCACTTCTTCGCGTCGGCTCGCTACGTGTGTGACCGGCAGTTTCGGGCTCAGAAGACCCCAATTTTGTGAATCACCACGGGCCTTTCCCTCTGAAACATGGCCGGGAGGCTCAGAAGATCTCGTGAGTTTCGCTTGTGGATGCCCTTAGTTTATTCCTCATCATTCCCACGATCATGAAAGCATGAGATCGTCCAATGTCACGTTCGGGAAATTCAGAAAAACGGTGCTTCGTGTAAGAGAAACGTCATCGTCTTTGTTTCGACAAGATCGCGAGAAAGACAAAAAGACATTCATCGCAGCATATGGCCGTCTTAGACCGTCTTTTCCATGCCGAGGCGGGCTATCCCAAGGGCGCACGGGGGCCTCAGTGTTGACCAAGCGGAATATGGCATGTTTTCGGTGTCTCAAATACACCCTGTCCCGCTGAGGCTCAACCGCAGGACTTCATTAAGGGATGGCCGGAGCCCGAGACCGGCGGTTTTAGCCCACTGGCCGGTCTAGCGGAAGGAAACGCCTGGTCTTGGTGTGAAGAAACAGCGGTGGATGTTGCCTTGAAACTTCGCATCTTTTATCGACGTCGAAGCTGAGTGTCCACATTGCGAGGTCGCGCCGCGTCGGCGATCGGGGTGCTTTTCCATCGGCGATGCGTTTCGAAGTCCGACAAAGGAAAGTTGCTTTGTGGAAAGCCCTACTGTAGGAGCGCTGGCACATGGACGTGTTTCGATGCCAAGTCCATGATTTCTTTGACACTGCATTTGGAAGTTGGAGATGCTGGTCTGCGGTATACTGAAAAACTGCTACGTTCGTTTCGTCTTCACCAAGTGACACCTGGACACCTCTCAGGCCGCACCCTGAACTCCTCAGCCGAGCTGAGTTGAGAGCAGCCTTGACCGAGAGCTTTCACAAAGGACCGTATTCCGGGGTTCGCTCGTGGGTAGTCAAGCGCCCGAAAAGGGTGGTGTCAAGCCGTATGGAGCCATATGGAACCATTACTACTAGGAACAAGAAGCTACTAGTAGGTCTTTGAAGCTACTAGTAGCAAGGACGCTACTAGGTGGAGGCCATCGCAAGTAGGTTGGAGGCCATTCCTACTAGGAACAAGAAGATACTATATATAGCTATTTGCTACTAGTAGCGATGTCCTCCAACCTAGAAACGGTGGTGTCAAACCAGGGAGTGATATATGGAGCCATATATGCAGCCAGGTCAAACGTCCGTCCGACAAGAAGGGCCTCTCGAAGTCCCGCACAGCCTCGGGTGGCCAGCTGTCCTTCTTTCGTGTGTTGAAATCGGAGTTTGAGCAGTGAAGAGTGCGTCCCAACCGCCCGGGCTTTTTCTACTGGACGCTCCACTCGAAGACCACCAAAGCCACTCAACAACACTCAAACAACTAACGAAAGATTCAACGGTACCTGAGGGGTCGTGGCTCCACAAGAGATGCATGTGACATGTTCCCACCTGGGGAGACAGAACAGGCCGCCGTTCCGACCCCCTGGGTTCTGTCAGGGGGGGCTTTGCGTCTCACTGGGGGGATTTAATCGCCAGAAGAGATGTGAAGGCGATTTCCGGTTCAAGTGACTCTTCAATTGTCCTGTGCGAAATTGGGGAGCATTCACAAGGCCTCACACATGATGTGTGTTTTGCTTGCAGACATCTTGAAAGGTGACAATTATCTAGAGGATACATGCTTAATTCTAGGGTGTCCGAGGTCCCTTGATCAACACATCCAAGTTGCTTGGGACCTTGGGTTTCTTCTCAAAGAATCCACATGTTGTCTCCATGTGAACTTCATATTTTGATTGACCCACCCGCTTTCTGCAGCGCTTGGAAAGTGAAAGTCATGAGACTGTCTGGCCTTGGACCCGTACTACTATAGTAGCTTCTTATTACTAGTAGCGATGCCAGGAGCCCCGTTCGTAGCTTTTTGTTACGGTCATAATGGCCTCTAACCTAGCAATAGCCTCCAACCTAGCAATAGCATCCTCTTGCTACTCCCAGGACTGGAAATGTCTGAGGAAACCCTGAACTACGGCGACAAGGCCGGTCCAAGCACCTCCCGCGAGCGTGATGCGTTCGACCGTAGCTACTCGACAGGCTAAACGTTGAGACCATGGCCTAGATCGCGTCAGACGGTTTTTGTTGTGTCAGACCGTCAAACAGCGTTGTTCTGTTGCTGCTGTTTTTTCGTCACCGTGGGATATTCATGCTTGAGGAGCCTGACGTAGCAGGTTGCTGTTGAACCGTTTGGTTTTTCGGCACGCCAGGCGAACGGCGCTTACATGCTGGGCCATCCACGCTTTCTCCAGGCAAGGCCATTTGGACGAAAACGTGGCAGACGACACCTGAAAAAATGCAGAAAAAAAGCACCCTTTTACAACGTTGGAAGATCTCCAAGCGGTCTCACCACGTGAAAGGTCTCGCCTTTGGGATTTCTCGCAGCGGCCTGTATCAGATGAGGTCCAACTGGACTTGCAGGGCATGCGAAAGAAACCAACGACCTCCGGCCGAGACACGGAAACACCGCTCTGCTCGGTTGCCGGAGCCCACGGACCCAGAAACCGGCACTGGGACGACCATGGCGCCAAATGCCAAAAGGACGCTACTAGGAGCAAAGGGCATCGCTACTAGGAGCAAGAACGCTACTAGGGGCTCCTGGCCTTACTACTAGGAGCAAGGACGCTACTAGTAGCAATGGTCTCCAACCTAATAGCGATGGCCTCCAACCTAGAAGCAATGGCCTCCACCCGAGCATAGAAGAACAAGAGTCAAGGAGTTTGCACCTTTTGCACCCGGCAGAGGGGGTTTGCTGCAGTCACCGGTGACTTGAGTGATGTTCTGTCAAAGCGACGAGTTGGCCAAGTCAATGTGCGAAGAAAGGCCAAGTCGGCCATCGCACACAGCAAGAACTACATAGTCCACATTCAGTTTAGCCTGTATTCAGTGCTGCTTTTGAGGGTGCTGCACCCTTTCTTGGTCTTGCGGAGACCGGAAAAAGCCATTCCTTTACTTAGTTGGTCCCAAAAAGAGTCTTTGGACTTCTAGGGCATGGCTTTGATTCATGCATGTCCCTTTCCTTTTGACCACGGCTCTTTCAGATCGCCGATGTCCGGTGTTCGTCCCACAGGGCTTAGCGAAGTTCCTGGAGCAGCAATATCAAGCGTCCGGCCCTCGGGCCAAGGCCAGCTATCCAATCGGTGTGTGTTCCGAAGCGGACAGGAAAACACAGGTGGTGAACTGGGAGCTTTGTCTTTGATCCGAACGACTCCCCAAAACCTGGCACTCGCTCGCCGTTGACTCGTCGGTGAGGAAGTCGTGGACTCGTCGCAGTCGGTGGTGTGCAAAAACTCGGAACGGCTGCCTTTGTCTTCACCAGTACCAAGAATATCCAAGAATGGCTTGCTCAAGGAAAACCGTCGCAGCCGAAGAATGCCCGGAGTCCGGCCACCTGTCCGATGATCCCAACATGGTGCGGTGGGATCGGCTTTCCACGGGTGTTCCACGGATCCCAAGGCCCACGGATCCCAAGACCTTGATGAGCACCATTGGCGCATCCATGGGCTCGGGAACCCAGCGAAGAACGAACCGCGAAGAACGTACTGCGCGGTTCGAGCGAAGTGGCGCGAAGTGCGCGAAAGTCGTCATGGCTCGGAGGGTTCATCAAGGACGCTACGCACGGTGGAGGCCATCGCTAGGGTGGAGGCCATTCCCAGTAACAAGAAGCTACTAGGAACAAGTGCATCGCTTCTAGTAACAAGTGCCATTCCTACTAGTAACAAGAAGCTACTAGTAGCTATTTGCTACTACTAGTAATGATAGGGTTCGCTCCTTGCGCCAAGCGTCAGGTACCGATTTGTGCTTCCGTATTTATGGGAAGGTGCCCAACCGACTGACACGGAAGGACAGGGAGGCGGTGTGAACATGAAGAGATGGTCAACCATGGTTGTTCGCGACAAGCGACGTGTTTTTGTGTTGGAAAGAAGTCACATGTTCAGGTTTGAGAGGGAGAATCTTTTTGGAGAACTGAGATGAAGAGGAAACAAAATTTGCTCTCTACGAGTTAATCATAATAGGCTTCCATGAAGAGATGTCTTCCATGCTGTCCGAAGCAAATCTTTAAAAGCTAGCTCTTGCTGCTTGGAGTTGTCTGTGCTTTGGGAAGGTCCAGAAGTGCTTCCAGGACCCACCAAAGTCCGGCTCCGCTGCGATGCACCAAGTACCATCTGAACAGCATCTCTTTCACCAAGGGTCAGAAACTGCAACTACCCTTCTCCGAAGAACGCATTCATGGCCGTGGATGCGCCTGCTTCACCTAAAGGCAACACCTACCAGGTAACCACCTGCAAAAGTCCTACCTACCAGAAAACGCACCGAGAGGTAATAACATGTAATAACCCATCACGGCATGATGAAAGGGTGTTTTACAAAAACATCACATTCTTAGCACTGCCACAGAAAACGACCTGTGCACATGTGGACCGGTGCCATAGCGAGTCCACCCCTCGAGTCGACACCCGGAGCCGCCAACCACGCCAGCCTGGGGACATTTGTGTCTTCGAGGCAGGGAAAGGGGAGGGGTCGTAGAAATGGGACCCGGCAAAATAGGAGACCCTGCATGTATGCTTCTATTGTATAGTAGTAGTATGTTGGAGTGACCTCGTGATCGGTAAACATAGACCTTTGCAGGTTTTCTGGCACGATTTCGCCCTTGAGAGAGGACTTTTTTCACGGAAAAACGATGCAAAGCTGAATTATCCTTGGGGCGTTTCTCATTGGGGAGGAGCTACATTGGTAGAGTCCTTGTTCAGTTCGTAGCGATGCCCTTTGTTACGTTCGTAGCGTCCTTGTTCCTAGTAGTAATGCCAGGAGATACTAGTAGCGTCCGATCGCTCCTGGCCCTCCACGAAGAGTCTTTGAGCACAGCATCCCCTCATCCCCTCCATGGACTCCATCCTCGGCCAAGTGAGTCGCCGTCGGTGCGTCGGTGACCCGGCGGCTCTGACCGAACGGTGCCAGGAACCCACCTATTTCTTGGCCTTTACCATGGCACGGAACTCCTTCCTGGAGCTGTTCGCTTCCTGGAACTGTCGTGAAAATGGTGTGGAGAAACCATGGGCCACGGCGGCCACATGAAAGGTAGGTTGAGGAATGGACACTCGTAACTCTAGGCAGTCAAGCTGCTCAGGAAGGGCGTGCCAATCATGGAGGATGGCATGGATTTGGATGCGTGCACATCTCAGGGAGATAAGCCACTGTGCGGCGAGTTCCGTATGCCGAAGCTAGCTTCTTGACCAGTTCAAGTCAAGAACATTAGAGTCTACATCTGACTCTTGGTGAAAAGAACGATCCTGTTGGACGGGCTAATCCTCCCTTTATGCCCTGCGTACCACTTATGTCCTGTGGTGAGAGGGCACCGGGCGCGAATGTAGAGGCGCTGCAGTTCCTGGAGTATTTGCTTGAGCGTTCGGAGCCACCCCGTGTCACCACCTTTTGCAGTGCACCTGCTCTCCGGATTTGATGCCGAGTTGTTGCACCCAGGCTGGACAAGGTTTGCACTGAAAGCGAAGGCAAGGTGAAGTTTGTTGGGACACCAAGTGGAATGCGCTAAGTCAAGTGGACTGCATTTGCACGCGAAGAAGAACTGTCTCAGATGTTCATGTCCCTTTCTTCAGTGCTGCAACGAGATCCAGCTGTTCAACAATGGTTCCAAGTGGTTCGAAGTTGTTCACTTGTTGGGAGCCTTCAAGGTCTACACCGTGCGCAGCGCTCAGAGAAGTCATTCTTCCGAACTCGTGTTTTCCAGTGAAATGGTCGACTCACCTGACGACATCGTCAGTTTGGTCGCTTGGCACGTGTTGTTTTGAGGAAAAATTAACGCTGCCGAGGCCTATCCATCACAATCCCACAGGCACCGGCAGCGAGATTTTGAGTGGTTCTCATCCAGTGTTTCACTTCTTTCACAAATGGAATGGTGCCCAAATGGTGATCATATCCAATCGTCAGATCGTTCCACTCATCTAGGCAGATGAAAAGGAAGAACCGAACGACCCGACCGTCACGTCCGTCATTCGTCCGTTGTTCCTTCCGTCTCGCACGCGGAGAGCTTCCCCGGGTCGTTGCATCGAAGAGAGTTCGTCGTTCGCATCGCAGCCGCCCGGAGGCTATTCGATGTCCAATGAGAAGCGAGTGAGGCTGATGCAGCTCGCGAAGTTGGGGAGCCTGGGAGGCCGAGTCGAGCGCTCCGGTGCTCGCCGAACGGAGCTGTTCAAAGGGAGCACCTGTCAGAGAGAGAGAGAGAGAGAAAAATAGAATGGTAGTAACAAATAAAGGAATAAAGCCATTCTAGACATGTGTGTGTGTGTGTTCACGGTTTTACGTTCGGTTTCCCGAACGCAACTTTTCACGGACCAAAGTTCAGCCCAGGCCGCCTGCATGCTATCATAAGACTGGATAACATGCCCTTGATTGATTTTGGTGTTCAGAGATTTGTTCAACTTGCAGTGATTCAACATCCAAGGAAGCACAAGTTCCTTGTGATCGCAGATGAGGCAGATGCAGTGCACAGTCCAAACACCACTGTACACACATCCCAGATGAGTCCAGTGTTCTTCCGTCTTTTTATCTTTTTTGGCGGTATGGGACCTCCTGGTTTCAGCCGGACGCACGAAAAGGAAAGCATCAATGTTGTCTTCTGTCAGAAGAGGACTCTATCTCATCGACCACTAGTGTGTTTCACAGTCACATAGATGCCACTGACGACGTAGTACCCTGCTTCGCAATGAACAGTACAGCACCAATGAGCTGTTTGCACGGTGTTCAAAAGGCGACCGGCTGAGTTCCGAAGGCCTACCAGCTCTTGAACTTTGGGAAGACCGATGTGCCAAGCTGAGGAACTTTGAGCAACAAGAAGCTAATAGGTGGAGGCCATCGCTATTAAGGTGGAGGCCATTACTACAAACGGAACAAGGTTCGCTACGAACGTAGCAAGAAGCGTCCTTGGGAATCGTTTCACTGGAATCGTTTCACCTGTAGTAACAAGAAGTTACTCGTATGTTAAAAATGGTTAAATGGTTTCGGGCGAAATACCAATGTGACCGTGAGATCAGGTTCCCTCGGAGTGAGCCTACTATTTGTGACTGAGCGCTGGTCCCCTGTTATACAGTCCATCAGAGGTTCGATGGCACCCCAAGATGTCTGAGATCCATACTGGCACCACATCAAGGCACCAAACATGGGGTAACTTGCGCCCCCGTTCGTAGCTTCTTGTTACTAGTAAGGCCAGGAGCGCCCTGTTCGGTTCGCGTCCGATCGCTCCGTTCGAGTCGCGATGCCCGACATGCTCCATTCGTAGCTCCTCGGATTTCGAGTTCTTCGCAACTCAGATGAAGCCACTCTTTTACCATGACGACAAGGAAGACCCGTCAGGGGGCCCCAGACGCGACCAGTGGTGGATGGTTGGCAGCAACGGAGGAAGCATGGTCGGAGGGTCGATCGTTGTGCCAAGGGTCGGTTGTTTGGAGAGATCTGGAAAGCTTGCTTGGCACCATACGTCCATACGTGAGACTGTTATTTCATGTTATTTCCACATCATTTGAGTCATGTGTTGCATTTGGGAGGCCATCGCTACTAGGTTGGAGGCCGACCGATGTCCAGTCCTGCTCAGGCGGGTCTTTTCCATTGGCACCTTCTCCAAGCTCATTGGCCCTGGTACTAAGGCGTTTTGGGACCGTTGACTATAAGGACCTTAAGAGCATATGTCAAAGTAGTTCATGTTCCATTAGATGTAGCGGGCCATAGATATATATATATATATTACACAGGATCTCACAGATCATTTTATAGCATTTTATGGAATGATAATGACAACACCAAAATAACCATAGTCATAATAAAGATGTACATTGATAGGTATGTATCGTAGATCCATTGTCAGGCACTTTTTGCGGAACAGCGAAGCAAAGGCATTCCACGCTTGCTTTCGGGCTTGTTGCTCCAGCCTCCAGCCCACCGGCGCCCGCAGCGCAGGTTGGCTGGGTTCAGGCTCACACGTCCTTGTTGAAGTCCATCGCTGAGAGGTCTAGCTGTCATCCCTTCGGGGAAGACAGCCAACCGGCCTAACACGTCACGAGGTTTGTGACCGTACAGGTGGTCAAACCAAAGGGCCCACTGTCACTGTGCCTTTGTGCCAGCTTTGGAAAATCCTTTAAAGACAAAGAGAGAAAAGACAGAGTCCATTTAGCAGCAGCCTCCAGTTATGTGTGTGTGTGATTTTTAAGGCTTTTGAAGACCTAAAAGCCGCAAGTGGTGAACTGTTGGTTTTGTTTCTTCTGGATTCCTTTTCTATTTGGGCTTCGTTCTCCACCCGATTCGGTGGGAACACTGAGGCCTTTGACCGACATCGGCTTTATCGACAGTGGTGCCCCACTCAGCGAGGAGTGAAATGAAGGCGATGATGTCCAGAGATGTTATGTGGTTCCCTACTTTACTATTGCTATATGTGTATGTGTTTGTGAGTTCCTTTTCGTAGACCTTTAGTCCTTTCTATGTTGTTATTTTTATCGTTCTTTCTTTGTTTCTCTTTGTTTTCTTTTTGTCATTTGGTTCTTTCCTTTTTCTTTTGACCTTCTTTTGACCTTTAGACCTGCCCTTCATCCTTTATCCCGATGGTGCGCGATGAGGTAACAATCCTGTGATCTTCTCCTCCATGAACTTGCTTCATTTCGTTGAGCCCGGCACCTGAGTTCGTGGAAAGGCCTGCAACTGAAACATCATCATCCACTGTTACAGGATAGATCGGATAGACCCAAAGACAGTCTTGTATCCAACAGTTGAGCAGGCAGAAAGGTCAGAAATCACCGTAGTCTTGCCATAGTGGCATGGCCACCAGCAGAGACCTCTGAGTTTGGTCTGATGTTTTTCTTTGGATCAACCGAGGGCCCGGGAGGATGGTTGGAGCAACACGTCAGGGCATGAACACACCGGGCAGGCTTGGGATTTGTGGGTTTACCAACGTGGAGACCGACGCCTGACCGTCCAGTGACATTGTCGAGGAAACGAACCCCCTGAGTCCAGACATATCAAGACAGGTTGAGGTTGGGTGTTGATGTTTGGATAGTTACTGTTTTGGTGTCTGACACGATCTTCCCCACGGCACACCCAATTTCGTGTTCGACCATTTGGAGGTGCTGCTTATGCTAAACTCGTAGTTTCGGGTACCAAAAACCAAGGGAAACAACTGTTATACCAAGCACCAACTGCTTGAAGATCCTGGCAGTGGATACGTCTCATCGTGGTGTCCTGGCTTCTTCCCGCCATGGTTTTCTGAGATCCGGCGCGCTGGCCAAGCACATCGATGCCGCTGGAGCCTGAGCGGTGTTTTTTGTTCGGCATGGGACCCATGTTTGAGAGCCGAAACAGCTATGCCTAGCAACAGCAGGGGATACCTATATATATATACTGATATACTGTATATAGTTATACCATTGGCAGATGCCTAGTTCAAGACACCTCAACAGCTGTGCCCAGCAACCTGCTTCATCACAGCTCCTTGGTCGCCCGAAAGCGTCCAACGGCGGTGCCAGGTCTCCAAAGACCTCGGCGAGAGGCGAGCGGTCGACGAGCGCGGCGCTGCTCGTGAATGCTAGGGATGGAGTCATTCAATGACTTATTCATTCCAACATGGTGAGAGCTCTCACCGGAAAAGTGTGCCGTAACTGAGCTGCATCGCTACGTTCGTAGCTTCTTAGTTACTAGTAGTCATGCCCCTGTGACGTTCGTAGCGATGCACTCGTTACCTAAGTTCGCAGCAAACACCGAGGCTGAGACCTCTCGGGTGTTTGCTAAATCGGCACGCCGAAGAGGTGTCAATTGATCTGCAGAAAGCTCCGAGAGGTTGGACTGGAGGCGGGAGCCTGAGCCCGCTTGTGGGCGAAGTGGTTGGCGGTTGGGGAGCGGTGGGCGGTTCAAGTAGACTCATCCATGCGGTGTTGCGTTGTGCCAAATGGTGTTGCGTTGAGATGCTTGATGGTTTGATCAAGAGGTTGATGTTTGTCCAGACTAGCGTATTGGGTGGACAGACCACCACGAACGCTCAGATCTCGGGAAAGCGAATCTACAGGGAACCCTCAGATCTCAGAATCATGTGTGGTTTAAACAGTGTTCCTCACTGCGTTGGGTGAAGTGCAAATATCGATGTGAAATGTTGCGGCGATAGAAGGTGTTCATCAACCTGTCTACCACTGCACCAGCAGTTCCAGCGTCGGGGTGCTGCAACTGGAGTTGGGGACGAAATACCAAGGCTCCTCTTTGGAAGAAGTCCAATCCTTTTTTCCCGCTCTACCCCAGCTGTTGCCCAAGCACAGAAGTGCCACGCTTCAGAGCGGCTTCCGCGGGCGGCGTTGAGGTCTATGAGCCCAAAGGTGGCTACTTCGTGTGGGCCACGCAGCTCAGACCCGGCGGATCCCTCCATTGCCGAAAGACCACGGCAGTGTGGTACGGGTCCGGGGTGGGGGGCAGGTGCACGGCCGGCGCTTGGAGACCAGTTCCAATGATGAATTCTGAGCTCAAAATGTACGAATGCATGCGTGCCTTGGGGTTGAGTCTAGCAAGCAGGTCTTTGGATGGTGATGTATGCAAGTCTGGGAATCTGCTCCACGAACAAGAAGACTGGAAGATGACAAGAGAAGGAGAAGAAGCAGAAGCAGGAGGAGGAGGAGGAGGAGGAAGCAGCAGTTTCAGAATTTTGTGTTGATTTGCCGAATCCTCGTATTGCTTGCTCGTTCACACTCCTTTGCCCATTGAATCTTTCTTGCCGCGGTGGTTGGTGATTGGCTGAGGTCAAATCCAAAGGCAAGAAGACGGGCAAGAGCCGGGTTCCCCAGTGAACCCAGCTTTATGTGCAAAAACCCTCAGCCTTTTGAAACATGAGTCAGTGGACGTTCTCAAAAAGAGGTTGGTTTTGCAGCTGCTTTTCAGAAAGTTGCTTGTCCCACAGGATCTTATTGAAGATCTTAATATGCTACTCGTAGCGTAGATCAAGTTCGGGGCCGAAATCCGTGAATCCGGGCCGAAGCAAGAGGCTGCCTAGCTCCGCAGCGCTACAGAGGAGAATAGTCTAGCAGGATCTAGCAGGTATGCGCATGTCGTTTCTGTGTGTTGCTGCTTATGTCCATACCACTAGATTTATTAGTCATGAAGTTGGCTCAAATATGATGTGTGCATGAACAGGCAGCCCGTTGCAGGGATGAAACACGGATCATGATCTTCTCAGCTGTGCACACACATGGATCATGAGCTCGACTGGCTGGCTGTCTGGCATTGACAAACATAGACATGTGCCCAAACACTTCGACCAACACTTCCACGGAACGAATGGTCTTGTGGGGGGTCGGGTGAAGCTGAGTTTTTCAGGGTTCGGCACGCAAGCGGTATGTAGGTCCTGTAGGTCCGCACTGATTTTTTTCCATCCATGGAGGATGGCTACATGTTGATTTATGTCCCTCTTTTCACATTCTGACAGTTTCTACTCCGCCTGTTGGCCGCTCTCCGACCTTCTCCGATCGACGACCTTCTCTCTGAACGACGGGGAGCAAGCGACAGGTGGGGAAGCCACGGCAATTAAGAAGGACAAGTTCCATGACTACATGCGACTATGTTTCTGCACGGTGCTCAGACGACTAGAAGGGGTTGGGCTTTTCTCGCTCTTTTTATCGGCGTTGTTTTGTTGGAGCCAGCTCCTACTTGATTCAGTAGGCGCCTACTTAATGAAGGAAGGGCAACCAAACGCTACTAGCGTATACCGGACGCAGGGTCCGCGTCAACGCTTCGTCCTTCGGAAGACGCGCCGGACGCACGCGGTGCGTTTGACGCCTTGAGGTTGGCTTACCAGGGAACAGATTGAGGAGGGCATCGAGTGACCTAGAGTAGCCAAGCCGAGTCACGTTCGTTTCGATGCGCGGCCGCAGAGTGACATCCTGGTGTGGGGAACGGCACTGGCCTCACCAAGCAACACCAAGGAGCCCGTAGCTCTCGGACGCTCTAGTCGGTTGGAGGCCATTGCAAGTCGGTTGGAGGCCATGTTCTACGACCAGAAAGCAAGAAGCTACGACCGAAAACGTCCTCCGCCTCCCCTGGATGGACCAAAAAGCCTCCGGTGGGAGCCCTGGTCCGATCGTCTCCAGGTACCTCCGCCCGTGATGCTGGCGTCGTGGGCGCGCCCAGGAAATCGTGGCATCGCCCGGGACGATGCTTGCGAAACAGGCCGAAGGAGGCCGAAAGGGAGCAACTCATAGGAAAAATCCTCGTAAAAGATCTCAGATCTCCGCTAGATATCAATCAAATTGCGCTCCTTTGTGTGTATTCCTTGCTTCAAAAGGACCTCACCTTCAACTGATTCCGTCCAACAGAACTCCAGTAAGGAGTTTTCCGTTCTGGTGCCTATGCGCTGGGACCAATCGCCCAGGCGGGGGGGGATGGGTTGGGTGCTCGCTTGGATGACCGTTGGACAGTTGGACGGGTACATGACAGAGGATCAGACAAAGTGGCACCTGCAAATGTCTTCCTACTGCCTACAACCATTGTAAATACAAAAAAAGATTGTGTGCAGAATTCTTTCACCAAAATTAGGGGTCTGTCTAGCTGTCTAGCTCATGAATCCAGTTTCCGTCAGGTTTGCTGTCGATGTGAAGCAGTGGTCCCCGCAGGTTCGTGAAGCCTTGCTCGAGACTGCAGCTTCGCGCGTGTAGAAAGGTGTCGGCCCCGTGCGGTGCGGTGTGAGCACACTGCTCACGACCGGGTTCACAGAGGTTCCTTTTCACGTCAGTATACTGAGGCCATTGCTCTTAGGTTGCTGAAAACGTGGTTCCCACGAGAACATTGGCTGACTTGCTTTTTCAAGCTACCAGGTCCAGCATGGTCCAGCATTCGACATCAAGCCGCGGTGGTCCGATCGGTTGGAGAGGAGCCCCGAACGTAGCGTCCTTGCTCCTAGTAGTAAGGCCAGGAGCTCCTAATGGCTTCTTGTTCCTAGTAGCGATGCCAGGAGCCCCGAACGTAGCGTTGTTTTGGTTTTCATTTTTCTTTGACCAAAAGAAAAATGATTTCCCCCTTTCTCAAGCATCAACATGATCCAATCCCTCTGCCGATGACCGACTGAGAAAAGTACCAGATGCCTCGTTCAAAAGAAGAATTCCGAACGAAACAAAGGTCTGAAGGAAATATGAAGGAACCAAAAGAATAAGAGTTCCTAAGAGTGTTTTACATGTTCTGGCCCTTTTTCGTCAGTCCAACGAATTTGGTGTGACCAGTTCCTCATGTTGCTTGCTGTTTGGCTCTTGCATACCTGTCCACAAGACCTCGAGACATGGCACTCAGTCCTGACGTTTTGAGTTTCAAGAAATATTTGCAGAAAAAGGTAAAACCTTTTAAAAACACCATATAATAGCAATGGCCTCCAACCTAAGAGCGGCCTCCAACCTAAGAGTTATTTGCAGAAGAAATGACACAAATGGCAGATGTTCTTTCCCAGACACTTGTGCATGCAGCGTGGTGCTGCAGCATGGTGTCAGATCACATCTCTCGTTTGGAGCCGACAGACCGGGACAAACGTGTGGAAGACGAAGAAAGAAGATGGAACCGAAAGCCTTCCAAACACGGAACCGAAAAGCTCAAACCGAAAGCCTTGCAGCCACACGTCACAGCAACCCCAGAGCCCAGCGACGCCACTGGGCGATTGCACATGTCCACGCCAAATCGGTGATTCCACCGATCGCCCGCGCCTCAACTAGAGGATCTCCACCAATGACACACCTGTATCCACTCTTCCAACCAATCCAGAACCAAAATCCAATCCCAGAAGGCCAGCATGTGCTACATGCTGGCTAGATGTCAATGTGTGTTTGTGTGTTCAATCACTTGAAGACAAGACTTGTGAGTTTGTGAGTATGTCCTTTCTTTCTTTGTGTATTTGTTTGCTGTTTCTTTTTTTCTCGTACTCGATCGCGGCGGATCCTGTCTCGAGGTACTGATCAGACCGCCATGGACATTGGCAAACGGATGATGGAGAAGTGGGGCTGGGCCAAGGCTGAAGACCGGAAGACATCTTTTTTATAAAGCCCGTGGGGGGGAGGGTTAGCCGCTAGATAGCTAGTAGAAGAGGTAGCTACTAGCTTACTTAAACTACTACCCAGGACGCAGGATAGCTCGCGCTTCTTCAAGGAAGCTAGGGCGGCGGGGGGGTGCTTCCTTGAAGAAGCGCTCGCACTATTCATTTGGTCCGAAAAGAAATAGAAAAGAGGGCACTAAATGGGCACGAAGAAAAGGAAAGGTTGAAAGTCGAAAGGAGTTCTGATGTTTATGTGGCTTTTCGTGATCATGCTTTCAGGGGCAGGGCCTTGGCAAAGACAACAAGGGCATGACCAGCTGCCTGGTGTGGAGACCGAGACCCAAAGACAAGCCGTCAAGTCCTTCATATTGGCCAGCTTGTCAGCTGCATTTTGACAGAAACTGCCATGCTGAGATTGGTTAATGCATAGAACCCACCTGAATAGAGCACAAGTTGTCCAAGGACTTACAGGTCAAGCAACTATGATCAACCTTATTTGTAGGGTATTCGATGCAGAACTCTGTCGAACAGTATTGCCAGCTGGATGCTGCTTTTGAAGTCAGGTGCTTCGGAAGGATTCGGGGAGCTCTACGCAGGGACGCATTGAGAGTCAGAAGCTGAAGGAAAAACTATAATTAATAGCAAACATTGTTGCTACTAGTAAGGCACTTGTTACTAGAAGCGATGCTCGTGTTACTACTAGCTTATTGTTTCTATTCTAATTAGTGTTATTTTCGACTGATTCGAGACATCTCTAGACTGCCTAGGTGTAGGGGAAGAGCCCACATTGGCCCACGAGGCGCGAGTGAAGTTGGGAATGAACTTTCGGAACAGAGGTCACTCACCACTCTTCAGATGATAACACACCTCAGTGCATGCTGAGATCAAAGTTCTTTGTGAGTCAGACCATGTTCTGTCCGTGGCTTTTGGAATGGGTTAAGACAGCGTGGCTTTTGAAAAAACGAGCGCGTCCAAAGCCCGGTCGCCATGAATACACTCCCTGAAACAATCATGGAAGTGAACAGTGGCCCCTTGGAAGACTACTTTCCTCTACCAAGAGGGGGTTGTCCACTTCCATGATTGCTGCAGGGAGGGTAGTTGTTCCTTCTGAAAAAGAAAAACGGTCACTCATTACTGAAACATGACTGATTGGGTCACTCATAACAGTGAGAAACTTCCGAGGAAAAGGACGCCAATGCAGAGTGACCAATCCAAGGGAACAAGCGTATGGCTCAAAACGTCTCTCCTCTTTCTTTTTTGCATCAATTTCTTTGCATGATTGCCCTAGTAGCGTTCGCTGCTCCTAGTAGCGATGCCAGGAGCTCCTAGTAGCGTCCGCTGCTCCTAGTAGCGATGCCAGGAGCCCCTAGTAGCGCCCTTTAATTTAATTCCTTCCATTTCTAATTTAATTCTAATTTAGTTTAATTCCAATTTAGTTTAATTCTCATTCTAATTTAATTTAATTCCAATTCTAATTTAATTCTAATTTAATTTAATTCCAATTTAGGTTAATTCTAATTTTAATTTAATTCTAATTTAGTTTAATTCTAATTTAAACTAATTCTAAGTTAATTTATATCTAATTTAATTCTAATCTAATTTAACTTAATTCTAATTTATTGTATTTTAATTCTATAGGTTTAATTCTAATTTAACTTAATTTAATTCTAATTTAACTTAATTCTAATATATTTTCATTCCAATTCAAATTTAGTTTAATTTAACTTAATTTGATTCTAATTTAATTTCATTCGAATTTACTTTAATTCTAATTTAATTTCATTCTAATTTACTTTCATTCTAATTTAATTTCATTCTAATTCTAATTCTAATTTAATTTAATTCTAATTTAGTTTAATTTAGTTTAACTGATTTAATTTAATTCAAATATAATTTCATTCCAATTCTAATTTAACTTAACTTTAATTTAGTTCCAATATATTTTAATTCTAATTTAATTCAATTCTAATTTAATCTATTTTAGTTCTAATATAATTTCATTCGAATTCTAATTTAGTTTAATTCTAATTTAATTCTAATTTGTTACTACTAGTAAGGCATTTGTTACTAGTAGTAAGGCCCTAGTAGCGTCCCTGCTCCTAAGACTCCAAACGGACCTTGCCCCGATCGGCCCTTCGCTTGGCGTCGTTTCACTCGTCTACTCGGTTCTGCAGGCGGCGAGCCTTGCGGCCAAGTCCCTGCTCAGTGCCCAACGGCATGTTTCCTTTGTGTCGACACACGCGCGTCGTCGTTGGTGCAGAAGAAGGGGGTGCATTTTCGTGGCACTTCGACCTTTGGTACTGTAGCAAGAAGGAGTTCTAAAGCAAATACGTGGAAAACTGTGCCCGGTTAGAGAGAAGTATTCTTCAAAGCTACGGCCAAATCCTGGAAACGATGAGAGCCACGGATCTCGGAGTTTGCAATGAGAACACCATGTTTCGACGCGGAATAGCGGATTTGGGCGAGAAGCCTTGGCAGGTTCCCTTGGAGCTGAGTCGACCTGGCAGGTTACCTTGTGCTCCTCGAACGATGTTCTCACTTCTTCGAGCACATCCAATTCCGAATGTCCACGAGTTCTTGCAACCACATGTTTTTGGTCAAGGAAACAAAAAAGACAACGACCTAAGCACCGCAAAGAACGTTTCTTTTCTTGCAGCTATACCCCGCGCTGGAAGCCAAAACGAGCGTTTCGTGGCCCGCCAGGCTGGGCGTTGGCATGCCAGATCCCGTCGATCTTCCAGCTGATGCGCCAAAGAAGTCAGCCCGCACATGGTATGTCAGATGCTTTCATGCGGGGCAAGATGTTGGGTTTAAAACAATTCCTACTGTAAAACAAGAAATGATACAGAAACAACCATAAACATGCTGCTCGCTGGTGGAACATCTTTCTTTAGAGCTGTTTTCTTTGGCATTGACGCGTTTTCCGATGAGTCGCAGCTCTCCAAAGGCACGACGATCGGTGGAAGTCATCGGATCGGATTCGTCGGCATGGCCAGGCGCAAGTCACGCTGGGATGATGGTGAGGAGCCCAAAAATGGAGAAGGGGAAGCCCAAAAGCTCAAGTATACTCATAGGAGTACTCATAGGTTCTGTGAAGATCTTCCAGAAAGAAAAAAGGGGATCATTTAAGGAAAGAGAACCAAATATTTTTTTGGTTACTACGACGCCCCCAGGTGACGCAGTGCCCACACCGGAAGTTCCACCGCTGCCGGTGGAAGTTCCCACGCTCGGGCGCGATCGTGCGCAATCGCCCGGCGAGTCCAAGCGGAAAAAGAACAAACAAGCAGCGATGGCCTCCAACCTAAGAGCTTCTTGCTCCTAGTAGTAAGGCCAGGAGCCCCTAGTAGCGTCCTTGCTCCTAGTAGCGATGCCAGGAGCACCCTAGTAGCTTCTTGTTACTAATAGCGATGGCCTCCAACCTAAGAGCCATGTGGGAGCAAAAATGAACAGGAAGGAAAGGAGAGAGACGTTGGGATGAGTCATTAGATGTGTGTTCCTTTCAGAGTTGAGAAGTATTGACAGTGGGTTTCGAAGCGCGTTCGAACGCGCAGGCATCTTCAAATGGTTCCTGCAGGCACCGAGACCTGGGTCGCATCGATGTCGTCCACGTGAGACTGGGAGGAGACACGTCGAGACTCGGTGGGGTCCCGGACGGTTCAATGACTCGTTGGTTCCAAAGGCCAGACTGGAAGAGAACCAACCGGGCCCGAACCAACTGGCCGCACAGTGCTTCTGCAAAGGACCTGTCGCTTCGTAGTCTGGCCGACACCACGACCAGTACCCGTCCTCGTGCATGGCGTCTGCCAGGTCCATCCGTGCCCATGTCAGGTGCCGCTTGCGCCCGTCGAGCGTGCAAGACATCGCCGAGATATATATTTCGGGGGGACCAGGAAGACGAGTATGATGGAGGACAGACCTCCTCTCTTTTTTCAGAAGACACTTCTTTAACCAGAGGTGGTATACATATAGTGAGAAAGTGGTATAATGAGATTTCAAGCGTACTTAAGGACAGACCTCCATTCTTCTGTCAGGCGATGGCTACCTGGGGGCACCGCCGGCACCGGCGGCGTCCACGGCGTCGAGCAATCCCAACTTCGGCCTCAATCAGGGCAGCACGGTCGCAACGTGCGGGTAAAGACGGCGCACCTTGGTTTGGGTCCCGACATCGGCAAGAGAGAAAAGGAGGCCTTGACGATTCAACACTCCCCCCTTTGCAGTCCGATTGATGGTTTGTGCTGATTTCATGTCGTTCCTTTGTGGGGTTGGTGGAGCAGTTTGATGCGGTTGGATATGAATGAAATTCCCTGGCTGTTTAAGGGGAGGCGTTACTGTTACACGACAATTCAACGGAAGACGTTTGTGGCATGAAGATGCATGTGAACCCAAAGATTAGCTTGTTCTCTCCCAATTGGAACTTGAAGAAATCCTTTTTCAACACAGCCGGAGCTGAACTTGTGCTGCTTGAGGTGGACAGAAGCCACGTGCAAGTCTCAGCTCAAATCTACCTACCTGGAGCGGCATTTGGTCGTTCCGAGGGAACATGTTGTTTTTCCGAAAATGACAGTAGATCTTTATGGTCATTTCGCTTCGCAGCTAAGTGTAAGTTACTGGTGCTTTGGCTTGGCCAAAGTTTCGTTTGCTTCAGCTGAAGAGCAGAACACTGTGTATCTCATGCGTACACGACTGTAACCTAATAGCCATGGCCTCCAACCTACTAGCAATGGCCTCCATATGTACACGACTCTCTAGGTATGCCCTACATGTGGCCGAAGCACGTGGACGACTGGCGTTGGAGCAAAGGCTTCGAGGCCACCGGGTCAAAGTCGAAGCGCAGATCATGTCATTGGATCTTCTTGTCTTTAAGACAGGCTAATGTATCCTTCGGGATGTTGAGGAGCCACCTGATTGAACGGAAACAAAACCAATAGAACACACAAAGTATCTCTACGCACTAGGTTAGAGGCCATTGCTATTAGGTTGGAGGCGCGTGGAGGGTGACGGCTTCATTCGCCCCAGCCATGTCTGGTCGATTTCAGGCCACGTACTGTTTCGAAGAAGTGGGCCTCCCCAGCGGCATGTGCGGGTGCCCGGTCCAGGGCCAATGTTCGAAGTCGACAAAAGGAAAAGAAGAAGGTTTGGTGATTGAAGCTATTAGCTTCTTGTTTCTAGTAGCTTCTTGTTACTACTAGTAAGGCACTTGTTACTACTAGCGATGCACTTGTTACTACTAGCGAACCGATGTGTTTGCTTTTTCTTGTTTCACTGGTTTTCTGAAAGAGTTGGCGGATGTTCAAATCATTCGTGCCACAGTGTCAGGTAGTATTGGGGAAGTTGAGTATTTCGCCATGCCTATGTTTTGGGCAGCGGCCATTTCTTCAGGAACGATGCTGGTACCGTCCAGTGAAGGAGTTCACACAAAGGATGTGATGACATGTGCGATGCTGACAGCACATACACCGCAACAAGCCCGCAAAACATCATATAGAAGTGATGCAGATGCATATATTAGCAATAAGCTACTAGGAACAAGTGCATCGCTTCTAGTAACAAGTGCCTTACTAGTAGTAACAAGGACGCTACTAGGAACTGAAGTGATGCAGATACATCGTTCTTTGATTTCTTCACTTCGAAGCCTCCTGGCTAAGGCTTGAAGTAGCACGAAGGATCCTTGGCGACGGATCCCGTCTCGAGCCCAGCCTTGGAAGGCGGAGGAAGACCTTGGCGTTCCTCTTTCCGTTAGCATCCCTTAGCATCTCCTCTATCTTGCTTTGATCATACAAGAAACATTCAGAACCCCCCTCGGCTTGGCAACCGACTGTCAGGCAGCTTCTTGCTGAGGTTTCCGCGCGAGCGACGCTGATGCTGAGGTTTTCCGACTCGTGTTGCCGATGCCACCGACTGCAATGTGGAAGTCACTGCCTGGGGTTCGTCACTGAGAGGACTTTCTTCTTTCGCTGGGGTGAGACCACACAAGCCATGCTTTGCTCCAAATTCTGACCTTGTAGAAAGGCCTTTCTGACCTGCGAATTTTCAGGTGCTTCTCTTTTCATGCGTGCCCAGGTAGCCTGCTAGTGAGACCGAAGGGGACTGGTGGCGATATTGCTCGAGCCTCATGCTGCCCACACGATGGCGTCCTCAGTCCTCAGTCCAGCTGTTCAGTCCATGTTCATCGGTTGCCCAAGGACAAAGCCAAAAGGATGCTTTTTGAGGCACTGGTCCTTCGGTGTCCGAGCTTACCATTGGTCACGAACATCGAAGATCAGACGTCATGTTTCTGTAGATGATCTGCGAATTGCCCACTGACAAGCATGAAGAAGCTGCCATTTTGGTCGGCGTTGCAGAATGCGGGAATGGGATGGAGAACCTAGAGAGGTCCTTTCTTTGCGGCGCTTCTGTGGAACCTCCTACACCGCCTGATAAAGAGAATGTCTTGGGGTCTTTAATGCAGACTCTTGATGAATAAAACCACCCCCAAGCCTGAAGAGGCTTTTCAATCCCTGTCTAGGGGGGTTGTTCCGAGTCGACGCCTAGGGAGACTCTCGATGCTCTAAGGAGTGCTTCTTCGCCTTTTGTTGTCCAGGTTTCGTGTCGTTGCCCCAACAACTGGGACCAGACCAATCAAAAGGCACTTTACCAACAGCGACAGAGACTCGGAACACCCCAAAAAAAAAGATCCAAGGATTATACCCCTTTTCAGAACCCTCCCGTGTTCGCCGCTCGATCCCTCGATCCTTTTTGACCGCGGCCGGGCGGCCAGGTCTTACACCCAGCCGCAGAGGCGCTGCGCTCGGAGGCCTTTGAGGTCGAGGAGATGTCGCAGCTCGGAGATCCTTGAGATCCTTCCGGGGGGGCGTCCACCGGGGAGTCGCGTCCACCGCGGTGGATGGCAGTCGAATGGACGTGAACCGCGCCATAGTCGTCGCCCAATCCGTTGGTGCGAATCCATTCCGCTTCCACGGTTTTTCTAGAAATCTGACGCATACTAAAAGAATGGCCAGCGGTGTGAACATTGCCATTCAAGTTCGCAACTTGATTGCCATTAGTTTGTTCATCGTCCTTCCTATCTGAGGTTCAGGTTCACATATACAGAATCGCTGAATCCCTGTGCCATTGGGATGTCTCATGTCTCTTTGTGGGTTTTGATGTCCTTTCGTCTGGCGGTTTGAACTGGACTTCCTGGACTCCGACTCTTGGCCCCACGGAGCCGGACCCAGGCCGGACCAGGATGCCAAAGAAGCAGACCAAGTGGGTTTGGACGCTGAGCGAAACGTCGGTTTGGGCGCGAAAACAGCGAAGAGGAAGAGACAGTCAGGACACAAAAGAGACAGTCAGGAATGACGGGTTTTTCCCACACATATGTGCTGGATGCTGTTGGGATTGGTCATTTGAATGTCCAGCCATGAAGTCTGAAACGAAAAGTGTTGTTCATGAGTTTGCTGTTCTTTTCGGTTTGTTGGATCCCCTTGTCATGTGGCCACGCTGCCAAGCTGCCAGGTCCCCGCGGTTTGGTTGCCGCTGGCTGAGCAGTCTGTGCAGTGTCCAAAGTCTCGCTAGCGCACCAAGTGAAGTTACCTCCAACCTACTAGTCATGGCCCTCCAACTTGACGCACCAAGGCAGAAGAAAAGGAGAAGGCCCCCCGGTTGCTGCAGAATGCTAGCCATCAATGCTAGCCATCAATGAATCTTGCCCATGTCCGGGGCCATTTGGAGAGAGGTTTGCCTTTCTTGAAATGTTTGGTGCATCCAGGAACACTTGGCCAACCAGAAGAAGCGAAGGGTTGGCCTTGGCTTGGTCGGAGGCTGAACAAGCCGTCTCAGGCTTTCCGGAGCCAAACGTATGCAGAGGACGTCAGGCAGCAGATGTGTCCTCAAACTAACCTAAGAGTGATGGCCTCCAACCTAGAAGCACGTACCAGTACCAGAACATGCTTCGTGATTGTCTCCTAGGGAGCATGCTTCAAGAGATGTTGACGCTTCGAGGTTGAGGGTGAGACCTCAACGGTGGATGAGGCAGCACCGCCTTCCCCTCGGACCATCGATGTGCCGAAGCAGAAAACACGTTTGGAGCACAGCAAATCGCTTCTCCCCGAGGCTCGAATCCGTGGCCATACCGCTGGCAACACTGGAGGCAAAGTCAACGTTCGCGAACGACATGCTATTTGACGCAGATGTGCTGCACATGTGCCTTCACAGCGTTGAACACGAGACCTCAAACAAGGTACCGCTGTTAAAGGCCCGGCGTAATCTGGATGTGGTTTCACGTTGGGCGGGAGCAAAAACATGGAAGGCGTTGCGTGTTTAAGATTTGGTGGAAAACATATTGCATCGTTTCACCATGTAACTTACAAGACATTGAGGGTTCAAGAATTGTTCACTGCTACGTGGGACTGTGTGGCAAACATGTGTTTCTCTGCGCCATGTACGTTTCGAAATTGGAGATTTCTTTGCTCATTGTTCTCTGTCAGCCATTTCAGAAAGCCTTTTTGGGTCTCTGACAAAAAGACGCGGCAGGAGGAATTATACCTTGTTCATTATGCCATATTAAACTATAAATCAACGCAGAAAGAACACGACTTCTCTTGCCACTTCTTCAACCCCACGCACAACACGTATCAGATGAAGTCGAAAAGCAAGGCACTTGCGTATAGCATGTGCAAGGAACGTTATTACCGCCCAACCCCATGGCGCAACCAAAACCTTCGGAGTGTGGTCCCAACAGACCATAAAATGCAATCCTACCATTGCGTATGAAAACGGCGCTATTAGGTTGGAGACCATCGCTATTACTGTAGTTGGAGGCAATTTGCTTCTAGGTCGGAGGCTGCTCTTCAGAACGGAGGTCTTTAAAGAGGTGCTCAAACTCCGACGAGTGAGCAGAGGGTTTCCCATTGTCTATGATGCAAGTCTTGCCATTCTCGCTTCGATGCTGCATGTCGTGTCAGGATATGCAAACCATTCAAAGACACATCAACGACCTCCGAGTTGCCACAGGTTCGATGCTTAGAAGAGGGCCGGTTGATCCGAGGGTTACCATGGAATCAGCCGTGAAGAACATGATGAAATGAATTGTTACTATGGATGTCCTGTATGAATTGGTACACAAAAGTACTGCTGTGATTGCATAAATACTTGCATAAATCAGATAATATCTAGAATGAAGTTGCCTGCAATGATGTTGAACTGTTCATAGACAGGGGATGAGAAGAGCTGTCCGAGATGAGACCACATAAAGAAGATACAAGACAAGGAAGATAAGACCCCTCTCGGTTTCCCTTTGTTCTTCTGGTTCTCGATCAAGTTTCCCTAAAAGTCTAGGAACGAAACAAATAGTGCCAGAGCTTTCATGCGTCCTGGTAGTTTGGCATACCATCTACATCTCGCTACTTACTTAGCTATGCTTGTTACCACCTCACATCCTAACGTGAAAAGAAACGGGATGCCCTTGTTACTAGTAGCGATGCCCCTTGTTACTAGTAGCGATGCCCCTTGTTACGTTCGTAGCGACGCCTGCCGAGCGCAGCGCGGTTACTTCCAGGCGTCGCACCGGTGTTGCAAGACTTCGCCTTGATCCTGTACGGTGGCGAGAAGAAGCTGCATCGAGCACAGCAGCTGGTGGGGAGCGAAGCGGAGAAAAACACGTTACTTAGTGCGCTAGTTGTACTATAGTAGCTACTTGCTCCTAGTAGTACGGCCAGGAGCCCCTAGTAGCTTCTTGTTCCTAGTGAAGCATAGTTGTTTAGTTTTGTGCTGTTTTCTCAGAGTCCAAATAGCAACAGGAGCTGTTGGGCTGTTGGGACCGTAAGAAGCTGCACACACAATAGGCATTCTTCACATGTTGCTCACGCTTTTACTGACTGATTTCTCACATCATGTTCTCGTGAAGCAGGTGCAGACGTTGCTTGAAACTGGTGAATGGGCCAGCACTCTCAGCCATTGACTGGGAAAGAAAGCGGAGTCTACTTGGCACAATAGGATCGTGCAGAAAATGTTGCTGGTCGCGCCTGTCTCTACATGTTTCAATGTTTGCCACGTCAGAACTTCTACGTAGTTCTACATGTATGTAAATCTCTTTGCTATTCCAGTTGCGATAGAAACGAAGTCGTTGGCCAAAAGCTACTAGTAACAAGTGCCACGCTAGTAGTAACAGGTGCCTTACTAGTAGGGGCTTCTGAGGTTGCCTTCTCGGAAGCCTTCGTCCTTTCAGAGGAGACGAAGCAAAAGCGACGTTTGGGGGCCCATCTTGGGTCCCGCCGTTGTTGGGGTGTGTCCCAGCAAACCAGTGACGGTCGGTCAAAGATCATCGCTATTTTGGGGGAAGCCTGCAAGCTCCTCAACTAGAAGCGATGGCGTTCCTACCTAGAAGCCTGCAACCTAACCATCAACTATTTATGGTAATGGGATATATGATATACCCAACTCAAGTTAGCTGATCAATCGGATGGTCCCCAAGGCCCGTCCTACGTGCATTTTTCCAGACATCTCAGCAACCAGTCTTGCCTTGTCCAACAACAAGGGACGCGTTCCAAGCCCCCAAAAACGTGGCTTTCACCGCCAAACGTCGCAAGTGACACAGCGGAATCGACCACCCAAGCGGTCCACAAAAGATCTACCCGGGCCCTCCAACCGGGGACGCTTGAAATACAAAGGCCAAAGCACCACTCGAAGAACCTTTTTCCACCACGAAGGAATGCTGGTCTTGGGCCATGTGGCCAAACCCTAGGGCGATCCATCCTGTGACGCCGAACGGATGTTGTCAAGAGATTGGTTCGAAAAGGGATGGTACCAACTGGACTTCTGATTCCGTGTTCAAACATCTTTAAATGATTCTTAGACTTAGATGATCATAGAAAATAGGATATCCAAGAGATCATCGTATATCCAAAATAGTGATGATCATCGATAGCATCTTTACAATCATTGTATATCGAAAATACCGGCGTCGATCTGTAGGTCCCCCGGACCTTCGGACCTTCTCCAGGTGGTGACGGTCCATCCACGCAGCTTCTCATCAAGCGCGGAACTTAGACGGAGAACGTGGACAGATGGAGAACTGCGGCCAACCTGGCCAGGGTGTTTGGGGGTGAGTTTGTCAGTTCACCGAGATCTCTTCCTTCTCCGGGTGTAGAATGGGTATTTGGAAGTAGACTAACAGCATGTGTCAGTGGTGATCTGATTCCAACCTTCTAAGACTCCATGTCAGGGCCAATGGCCAATGGATGACAACCCCACGTGCGCGCGGCGTGTGGCGTTGCTGTCAGGTTGCCCGAGTGCGCGGGCATCAAGGCGCACCGTTTCGGACGAAGCAAACCGACCGCTCAGACCGCCGAGACGACCGGTTTCGTGATGGCTCCATGGCGAGTCCTGTGTCGTGACGTTTCCGGGTTCTCTTCTGTCATGACGTTTCGGCAGGTCACCCACCAGCTGCTTTTTTATTGAAATGGTTTTTGGGGCGACGTGTTCCGGGGAACTTGGAAAGAATCAAAACAGCATGAGCATAGCGGTTGCTCGTCACTTCCGACTTTCTGGGGGATTCATCAGTGTTCAAAAGCTGTTTAGTATTGGAACGAGGTCGATCAAAAAAGTCCCACTCTTTTTGGGGGTCCGAGCTTTCAGGTGCTGGAAAAACATCTCACGTCCATGGAGCTGGCAGCCGAAGCAGACCAGTCCGGACCTGAGAATTGCTTCGCAACGACTCTGTGATGGTCGGAGGCCATGGCTATTAGTAGCAAGGGCATCGCTACTAGGGGCACTCCTGGCCTTACTACTAGGAACAAGAAGCCAATAGGTTGGAGGCCACTGGAGATGTGAAAGAAATTCCTTTCGGCCTACCGCTTTGGTTCTTCAAAGTGCCCTTTGCACCATCTCTTCCCATTTGTCACGACTGCAGTAAGCTCTTGCTTCAAAGACCTGCCAAAAACGAGGTTGAAGCTGACCTCTAAGCCGGTGGCCGGAAAGCGAACGCCAGAGCCACAGCTGTTACTGCGGGAAAACGGGAGTTCGTTCGCTTGGCGCCGCGGTGACTTCGCATGGCATGCGAAGGCCGCGGTGTGCTTTGGTTCGCTGAGGCTCATGGTGGAAGGTCCACCGAAAGCGCATGAGCGCAAGAGCCTCATCGTTTTGGCCGAGTTGTTTGGAGCTTTTGGGGGGTTGAACTTTTAGCCAAAGCTGAAACCAGAGTGGCACGGTAGAAGCTTTGCCCTTGGGTCTTTTTCTGCTCCAAGAGTGCTCTTTGTCGAAGGAGCAAGCGACGTTCTCCACCGGTCGATTCGGACGTAGCGGATCGATGCCGCCGGTGAGGTGTGAAGCTCATGGTGAAGGAACTCATGGAGAAAGGCCGAAACAAGCTGAGACCACTTGAGTGTGTGGGGAGAAGAAGACCTAAAACATCCAGGTCATCCTCTTCATTGTTCTCCCCATGTTTCACTGGGTCCTTGATGGTCGTTGGATGACCCAGAGCTAAAACGACCATGAAATTCTATCAGGTCCGACGTTTGTGCATTTGTCTTTCACGATGAAGACCTTCCTCGCCCGCTTCTGCCAGGCCAATCGCCCATGCTCACGAAGTTCCTGAACGGCTCCAAGGCTGGCACTGGTCGCAGGGGGCGCCTAGCACCGCCAAAACGAACAGAATGGACGATGGATGACGGACTATCAGGGAATGTAAGCCCCGCTGTGCACCGTTTTGATTCCAGTTTTTTCCATCCACGGTCAGCAGTTTCTTCGTTCTTCGTTTTGGTGTCAGAGGTTTTTCGTTCGCTTTGAAGCTTGTTGGTTGGACTTCCGAGGTCTTCCTCAGAGTGTCGGTGCCAATCCGGCAAAGGCAAGATCAGAGGATGAAATCGAGCTTATACTTTTACTGTTTTGCTCCTTTTACTGTTTGTAGCTTTAGTGCAGATTCAGTTTGTTTCCTCTACCAAAAAGAAAGAGCCAGAGCCTGGCAGCTTGACGACTCAATGGCCGAGGCTGTTTCTTGTAGTGTTCTGATGTCCGGCACATGCGTCTCGCCACCGTCTCGCCACCAGGCTCCGGTCTCTGTGAGCAGCCAATAGCTCAGCAACGACATGTTTTTGCAACGAACAAGGAGGAATAAGAATCAGTTGACTGCAAGCTTCCCAAACAAACTGTCCTTTCTCTCCCCTCTTCCCTTGTCCTTTCATTTTCCTTTGTCCTTTCTTTGGATTGTTGTCTTGGCTTTCGAGGCACAATTGCACCCGGTGTCATTGCAGCTCCACCCGTCAGAAGCCTAGCATCAGCCTCTCTTTTCTGGCCTTCCAAAAAAGCTGTAGTTTCAAGAAGTTTTACACAGTGACAAACACACACTGGGAGGAGAAATCCGAAAAGCTGCCAGGTGATAGAGACAAAGAAAGAAGTCAAGGAAGAGATTAAGGTGAAGGCAAGTCTCAGCAAGTCTCATGTCGTTTTCGTCAGCAAGACCCATGGGATTTGCGCCCCATGCCGGGCACAACCGACTGTGGGTTGCCTTTGGCTTGCAAAGTGTTTCTGCGATGCATGTCCAGCTTAGATTTGTTCGTTCTTGCAGGAAGAAGTAAAGGAAGAGCCGCTTTCTGATGAGGATGCCGACATATGGAAGATTGAAGAGAAGAGACGCAAAATGTTTCAGATTGATCACGAATTTGGTTGCAGAAACTCTCCAAATGAGTTCACTTGAGCTGATGAAAGATATGAAAGCACAGTGCGCCATTTCAGGAGGGGCCGAAAAAGGAGTTGCCCAAGCTCAATGTCGCTTGGACCTGATGTGACATGATGTGACCATAGATATCTACGGCGCTGGAGTCCTTACGGGGAAGGCCATTGCTATTGGGTTGGAGGCCATCGCTAGGTTGGAGGCCATTGCTAGTAGAAACAATCAAAGGGAAGAAAGGTCTAATATAGTTTGTGAGGCCATCAAGAAGCAGCACAGCTAACGACCAACACTTCTGACCAAGGCCGGATGGCGTTTGATGGCGCCGCCCACACGCATGAAGGCCACAAAGGCAAAGGCCAAGCCACCCAAAGCAGAGGCGAGAGAGATGGATGTTCAATTGAGCCATGGCCTCCAACCTACTAGCGTCCTTGCTCCGTTCGTAGCGATGCCCTTTGCTCCTAGTAGCGTCCTTGCTCCCAGTAGTAAGGCCAGGAGCCCCGTTCGTAGCGTCCTTGCTCCTAATAGCTATGGCCTCCAACCTAGATGTTGTTTGTGCGCTGGTGGAAACCGTTCGAACGTTCTGCCTCTTCGCCACGGCGCAGGCACAGGCAGCAGATGACCTGTTCGCAGATCTGCCAGAGTGGAAGTCTCAGAGATCCTAGTGGATCATCACACCCACAACTTCCCCTCTAGGAACCTCTTGTTTTTCATGTCGCATCTCAATCGCAAACCTAACCAACGACTGTTGAAGTAAATGTGTATTGTTTCTGGGTGGTTGAGCAGACAAGCCGTTTGCACATGACAAAAATGTTATAAAACGCTCCCAAACATGACACAGCTCGCTAGAACGCTGTCTTTCAGGCCTGGCAAAGTCCTCCACTTAGCGCATCCTGTGTATTCAAAAGCTTCAAAGTGTGTGAGGCCATCGCTATTAGGTTGGAGGCCATCGCTTCCAGGGTGGAGGCCATCCTAGTAGGTTGGAGGCCATTCCTATTAGGTTCCTTAATGTCTTTTTTCGACATCGCTGAGGCCAAGGTTCCAGAAGCCACAGCCACATCTATTCCAGATGGCATCACGGAGTAAAATAGGTTCACAGTGAATCCGTTCAGAAGCACTGGCAGCCAGTCCGCTGATGTCTTGCATCATAGGCGTTCTCATCTTCCACAGCCAAGTCTGCAGTCATGGTCTTGGCTTAAGCTGCAGTCCGCAGTCATGGATCCAAATGAGAAGTGAGGCCTCAAAGAGGCAGCAACAGGTTGAAGTTGGAAACTGCAGTCATTTGGGCCATGCTTCGATTGGTCAAAAGAATGTCAGCATTCACCAAGCAGATCAATCAGAGAGCTACTGTTATTCATTGAGTTGACCTTCAGAGTCTCCATGAGCATGTTCGAGACGAACATCATTGTTTCAAGAATCACAAAAGTCAGAGGGACAAAACATGTGTCTCATTCATGCGTTATGTGTCTCATTCATGCGTTCATGATACAGAACGTTCATCATGGAGATTCTAGGACTAAACACGTCAATGGATTGAAAGGCTTTAAGCTTTCAATTGCTTTCCGGCAACCTTGACGCGTTCTTTGTTGAAGGCAGTGTGAACACTGCGAGAAGCGCAGGGTGGCCATGGCAGCCATGGTGGCCACAGGCTGTGCCTGTTTGAGGCAAGACCCATGAAGCCATCGGGTTGTGTTTATGTTCAACCTGGATCCACATGCTATCACGTGATGTCATTGCTTCTATGTGTTTCCTCTTGTATGATATGTATATATACGTGCATACTAAGTGGACATGCAGAATCCCCGTATGCATCATCCTGATCCGTATTGCCTCTATGTAGTTTCAGCAAAGTGCTGTTCAGTTACGAGTTTGCTCCCCATCAGACAGCACCTATTGCTTGTATGGAGCCGTGTCTCAGCTGTAGAGACTGCAGATGGAGGGAGGATGAACAGATGTAGTGTAACCTAAGAGCGATGGCCTCCAACCTCCTAGCGATGGCCTAGAAAGCTGGGGTTCTTCAATACGATATCCATTTACTGTGCTCCCAAAATTCCTGTCATCGGATTCTGGTGTTGCGAATGTAGGAGGAATTGTTGTGAATGCTTCTTCCAGTGGATATCGATTTTTCCTTGCAGCTGCTCAAATTCTCTGCGAAAGAAGATGGACAGTCTCGTTGAGTCTACCGAAGAGAAGGAATGGGTCACCGAGATCCTTGCGGGCATGGACTACGTGGAGCGACCGCCATGCGATCCGCCCGATGCATTCCTGCCACTCGTCACGGTTCGAGTTCTCCAAAGAGAGACCCAGACATCATACTAGTAGCGTCCTATTGCTCCGTTCGTAGCGATGCCCTTTGTAGACATGGTGAAGCTACCACTGCGGTCGGTGTTGCAGTCGGAGCTCCCCCGAAGCCGTTCCGATTGCCGTCCTTTTTTGGTTCGCGAGGTCCTCGGTGCGGAAAGATGTGAGTGAGCTTGGGATCGAAGAGTTCATGAGCTCGATGCCAGACACGGGCGTGCGTCAAAAGGCGGCCTTCAAGCGCTTCCTGCGGGCGTTGCTCGGCGAGGAACATCCACCAGGCAGGAAGAGAAGTGAAGAGGGAAGACCTTCAAAAGCTGCGAATGGTTTGCGCTTTGATCAATGCATGCTTGGCATGTCTTTCAGTTTTATAAAGACACCATCACTCAGTGCATCCTGGACAAGTATGAGTGATTTAGTGAGTAAGATATCTATCTTCAAGGATGCTTCGAAACTTCCAAGGTGCGGACACATCAGTCAAGTGTCGAAAATGCCAGGAGATGCCTACATCACTGCGTACAATGTGTGTGTGTTTTTTGCATGAGGGCTGTGTGTGTGTGTGAGAGGTTTTCAGAGTTGCTCAAACACCAGGGCTCTTGGTCTTGTGGAGCACCCGGACGCAGTGTTGAACACCCGCGGCGTGCGCAGTGCTGAAGTGCCGAGTGGCGCAGGACCACAAGCTCCAAACGACAGCGTGCACCCACAGGGAGTGAACAGAGATGCACAAATTGGATGAGAAATGATATCAAAAGAGGACATCAAATCCCAATCCCCCTTGGCCAAAGCACGTGCCACGATGCATAAACCCTGTCCCCAAAGGGGTGTTCATTGTCGGGATGGGGGGCCCAGCATTTCTTGCATCATGGCTCACGCTCCTTGCCCAACAAAGCTCAGAAGCAGTGTGTCACCCTAAGTGCGGAAAACCTCAGTGACGTGGTTCACACCCCATGCGACGGATTCGGCGCTCGGGTTCCGCCGTTCTGCGGCAGATTCCGCCGAGCCCGATGCTCCGAGTGAGCGATTTCACATCATGGTGCACAACATGTGCTTGGAGGAGGATCCTTACACACTGACAGTCCAAGTCATACACGCCTCAAGGTGCGACGTCCGGAAAGTGTTCAGGGAGAAGGAAGGGAGTCCACGCCCAAGCTTTCCAGTTTTTGTTTGAGATTGGTTCACCAAATTACCAGAGACCTGCGTGTCCAATCAAATCCTTAGCAATGAGTACTTCTATGGTGATTTCTATGGTGAGCCTTTGGGCAGTTTCGGGTTTTGAAGGAAAACCCTTGCCATTGTCTTCCTCGGTGTTTCGGGTTTTCAGAGCAGTTGCTTCGTTTGGAATTACCCCGCATGAAAGCACTTTTTGATGAGGAATCACCCGGCAAGCGAAGGTAACGAGTTTCAAAAAAGAGGCCTTCAAACCCGTTCAGGTGCGTTGACTATACGTTGAAGCCTCTTCATATCGCCAAGCTGGTCCTTCCAGAAACCTCGTCCATTGAGCTGGTGTCCAAGTCGGAGGACCCCAAGGTGACCAAGGTGTATCGAAAACTTCTTTCAACTGAAGGCCTTGCGAAAGGCTCGATACTCTATGTGGCCTGGAGGAGAAGAGTTGTTTTCACCTTTTTCCCGAGTCTCGGGTCTGGGGTCGGTAGAGCAGTGTTCCATAATATGTTCACGACCGGCTGCATGAGTGCCGCATGGCCGTTCCGTTGTGGGAAGCTTTTTTACCAGGTATAGTACTTCAAGTTCCCTTTCCATCAACCGCTCGATAACCTTTACACACGTACAGCAGTCCGCAGCTTTGAAGTCTCATGCGCGCGATACCTGGGAACAGAATTGTAGCTACCCTGGGTCCGTATAAATGCTATGTTGCTATACCTCTTACACACCTATATAAGTTCAAAGCACGAATGAGACTTCAAAGCTGTGGCTTGCTGTGCATGTGTAAAGGTTATCGAGCGGTTGACGGAAAGGGAACTGGAAGTACTATACCTGGCAACTGCATTGTAGCTACCCTGGATATCCATACCAGGCAAGGCACCAGCTGAGTAAGAAGGGGGGTTCGGGGGGGTGGCCTGAGAAAGCACACTCGAAAGTAGGTGGTGTGTAGGGGTGCACGGAAGGAAGGTTTTGGAGGTGCTTTTTTGTGATTTTAAGAAATGCAATTGTCTTCGGTCGGCTGCAGTGTACTTGGCAACTGAATTGTAGCTACCCTAATTATACCTGGCAACTGCCTTGTAGCTGCCCTGGGTCCGTGCGCGCGCCTAAATCACGGGCAGCCGGAAGGTAGGGAAATTGAAGTGAGATACCTGGCAACAGAATTGTAGCTCCTGGGTCCGTATAAATGCTATGTTGCTATACCTCTTACACACCTATACAGTGGATTGCTGTGCGTGTGTAAAGGTTATCGAGCGGTTGACGGAAAGGGAACTTGAAGTACTATACCTGGTAACTGCATTGTAGTTACCCCGGGTATCTATACCTGCGCCAGCTGAGTAAGAAGGGGGGTTCGGGGGGGTGGCCTGAGAAAGCACACTCGAAAGTAAAAACGCTGGCTTTCGTTTTGCAGCTTCTCAGGTGGATGCTTTTTGCTTTGCTTTGCAGGACGCCAAGCGTGGTAAGCTTGTTGCGCAACCCTATCCTTGTCTATAGGGTCCCGGCTGTTGTACATGGTCATTCAGCTTGACCGCAGCATCAAAATCAGCTTTTCAAGCTGCTGTGTACGGGCTGCTACTGGTGAGCTCACTTTCTGCAAGAAAACTATGGTAGTTGCAGTGTTCGTGTAGTCTGGGAGGTCCAGCATTGTAGTAGGGTCACATAGTGGCCGCTGTTCAGAGTGCCAAAATGGAGAGCAGTGCAACAGTCATGTATTCCTCCAATCGAACCTGAAGCGTGTCGTTCAGGAAGATGGGCAAATGCACTGTTGCGGTCATGTTCACTCGCGGGAGGATGGCAGCTCCTTCATGACATAGCCAGCCTCGGTCGAGGTGCAGGCATTTGTAGCATGAAGGAGCAAGGTACCCTGCCCTCATTCCTAGGTTGTAGTGCCAGGAATCCACACAGTCCTGCAGGGCCAATTGGGGTGAATCGAGTTCTTCCACCCAGTTGAAGGTCAGCAAGCTAAGCGGCCCACCTTTTTCCCACACCTCAATGCTGTCGTCAGCCTGGAAGCGCTGTTCCCAAGCATGGTCCAATAGCGGGAGCTGACACCATTCAAGCACCCGCAAAAGGAATTCGGCTGCGCAGCACTGCGTGTGGGGACTCGCATCCCAAAGCTGCATGAGCTGATTTAGCTCAGGCAGTGCAAAAAGTGCCACCAGAGATGGAGAGTCCATCTGACGTAGCACGGCGTGCCAGGTGTGTGCCTGGCAACCCCAAACTTCCTCCACAGTAGCCTCCAGCGGAGGGTTGCTCATCAGCATCCACAGGAGTCCTGTGAGAGTGGCGTTCAGATAACACCAACAGGAAGGATTGTCCAACCTGACTTCACATAGTGCACGGCGGGCAGCGGTCAGGTTCAGTCTGCGACCAGGTGGCAGGGCTATGGCTTCCCTTTCCCTTTGCGCTTGCCCTTCTTGTGGCGTTTGCCCTTCGAGGTGTCCTTGAGCCTCTCCTGCAGAGTGTTGGCATTGTTGTGCCTCTTGGCATTGCGCGGTTGCATGGTCATTTGGAGGAGTTGCCATGCGCTGCTGTATGCTAGCTTGTAGAGCAGATCGTAGAGCTCGGTCTCCCGGCGTCCAATCTGCATCTTCCATGGGATGGTGCCTCCGCTGACTGGAGGGCGGAGTGCCTGCATCCTCATGATGGTCTGTGGACGACACAGGTGTTCCCGGATGGCTGTCAGGAGTTCCATAAGGCTCTTCATTGACAGCCCACGTCGCTTCTGATTCACTTCCAGCTTGCTCGTGCTGTG